CATGACTGGCAGTAAATCCCACACAGGTGCCCTGCAGCAGTCCCCAAATGATGTCATTTTTTCCAGCACAGTGCCAGCTAATACAAGAACTATTATCTAGGAAAAAAAAAAAAAAAAAAGCTGCCTAAGTCTCCAAGCCTGACTTTGGCCAGGGCAGGGACAAGAAGTGATGCAGAGAATGTCATTCAGGAATAATCCGTCTCTGAAATTCAGTTCCCCACAGAGAGCCCAGAGAATTCCTATTAATCCATGCAGGCTCTTTGAAGCTGCTGCAGAAGCACCAGGGCTTTCTATCCCTCAGCAGTGGTGCAGTCCAGTCCTCCAGGCTTGCAAAGGACCTCTCTGGATACTGCACCACTGCGGAAAAGAATTCCCGTTCCGAGGGCTCTGCAGCAGCAGGGCTGAGCAGGGAGCCGCGCTCAGGGAGGAGCAGGAGCTGGCAGGGGGGGAGAGCCCGAGACAGGCGAGCTCAGCACAAGGTGGGAGCCTCCCAAAATGTGCTGACAAGCAGATCTGAGCCACAGATGCAAAACACAGGCAGCAAACTCGCTGCGTGACACAGGTGCTCTGGAATCACATTTACGGGAAGGCCTCAGACCGAGCTGCATTTACCTGTAACGAGCTTGGTGCTGTTTCTGAGCTGGTCAGATTAAACTCCACGTGCAGATTTATTTAAGATTCTTTCAGTAAAAAACAACTTGCATTCCCTCCCCAGAGTCAGGTCAGGGGGTTATGAAATCATCCTTCCCAGGTGATCTCGGGATGCATTTTGGAGGGGATATCAACAGCCAGGCAGCAAGCAGGGACAAACCCCCCAGGTTTCCCAAGCAATATCGAAACACTTGGATGCTTGGCTGAAATGCACCGTGGGACCAGCCAGAATTCTGCCTGTTTATAAACCATGAGACAAAAGATAAGCAATGACTCAGCCCCAGCAGCCCTGTGGACAATTACCTGATTAGTCCCCACCAAGATGCACACTTTAGTATCAACCCCCGGCACACAAGAATTTCTGGTTTTTAAGACTCTCTGAGAGGCCAAGCCCTGCCTAATATGGACCATCAGGCTGAGCTGCAATGCCCCCACTTTTTCTTTTTTTTTTACCACTGAATATAAAGTAATTTTAGGACAGTGGGAAACACCTGCACTTTAAATCTCCAAAGGTGTCCCTTCCTGTAAAACCACGGGGAGAGAATATCCAGGGAGCACCTAAGGAAAAGGGCTGGCTCTATTTTGGTCAGCATTTCCAGCAGCTTCCACACCTTCTCTTAGCAAAACACGCTCTGGCTGTGCAGCTGCCTCCCTGGCACAGGGAGAACACAAACACGAGGCAAACAAACACTCTTTTGGCAAGATACAGGGTCACAGATGCACTTTTCTGGTTTAATTTTCTTCTGAACCTCAGCCTGACACCTCTTCCTGTGTCCTAACCACAAATTCTGACCATCAAGAATTTCCCCTTATGGGATGTTGCACAAAGAACACATGATAAAGAGATTTCTACACCTCTCTGCACTCGTAAAGAGACGTTAATTTTTGTTCTTATGAAGGTGGCACTAAAAGCCAGGCTCCCTGTGTTCTCTGGGAGCCTGTGCTGTCTCAGTGACAGGTCCTGCAAGCAGAGCCCGTGTGCTCCCTCACCAGATCCCATTTTGCAGGTCCTATCCAAGGCACAGCTATTATTCCCACAAGGAAGAGCTGCTGGCAGACCTTCAGCCCTCAGCAAAAGCCCAATTGCTTCTTTCAAAGCAGCAACCACA